CGGTGCTTGGGGTCTCGCCTGCCCGCGCCAGTGGGTGTCGAAGGTGCCACCAGCGCTTGGAGTTTGTGGCATGGCGGAAAAGTGACTTGAGCCGGGCGAGGCAGCGCTTGACCAGGCTCACCCTTTTGGGGATTGAGGGGTTTCCGATATAATGGGGGCTCGGTGGTCAGGAGGAAGTGCAGGGCTCAGTTGCTTTGTCTCTATAGCGTTTCCTTAGCGCCCAGTGCAGCGCGTGGCGTTCCATATAAGTTATGGAATTGAAATGGATTCCAGGGCCGTGCCATTCCCCTTCTCTCATTCTCGCTCCCCCGCCCCTTGTCCTGGAAGGACGCCCTGCAGGGGGTGCCTCTGCGGAGCCGGGAGCAGCCGGCTGCTCCTCGCCCGGGTTTCAAGGTACCCGGGCTCCGCGGTCGGTGTCCGGCTCGGGTCCTGGGGATTCCAGCTTGAACCCGCGCTGGGGCGAGAGCTCCGTTGTCCCCAGGGGGCAGGCGGAGGGCCTTTCTGCCGGGGCGGGGAAACTTGCCCGGGGTAGAAATATTGGAAAGCTGGCCCGGTCTAGGAATGCTCCCTTCCATTCATGTCTTTATTTTCCGGCCGGCGATTTTTTTTTCTCCCCTGAACATAAGCGATTCCATCCAGGAGGAGATACCCCTAGACGCCGGGTCCTCCGTGCGCTCCTCCAGCGCCCGTAGGCGCAGACCATTCCCACAGTCCCCCCTTTGTGAACGTCAGCCCCCGTCTCAGACATCCTGAGAACCCCTGGGCTTCTCCTTTCCCCCGAAGGATGGGGTCACCCCTGCTGCAGGCGCTCTTGGGTTTTCCGCAGCTCACCTGACCCACCCCTCCCGTCCTCCTGGGCTTGCTGCTGCCACCTACCGTCCAACCGGAGTGAAATTTCACGGTCAAGCCCAGTTAAAAAGGGGGGGAAAATCTTTTCTTCTCATGGCTGGGGGGCTAAGAGCTGCTTTGGGAAGAGTATGTGTGTGCGGTGGGGTGGGGTGGGGTGGGGCAGAGC